TCAGATTCTAATGTACCTAAAGTTATAAACAAGAACTCGTAACGTGCTTACATGAGTTTACATAAGAAAAACATTTTAGATAGGGTCAACTTAAATGTTGTTGATAGGTCTCTACGACATCAGACAACTTTTATTAAAGACTTTGTATACTAAAACATAGGTACAGAGCAATAGGAATACTTAAACTTTTAAACAGGGATCTATAGATTTTAAAGTAACAATGGCTCAGAAAGAATTTTTTTTTGTATTTTTTTAATAATTTTAATAAGGGCTAACTGGACAGTGTGAACAGACACTGGATTGCTGCATTTTGAGTAGAATGTGAACTCTGTAGGAATAAAAGGACACGTAAACACGAGTTCAATACATGGATACAATAATACTCCGACGTATACTAACTCAGTATTCCGTTTTCTTTACGTTCTCCTCCTCCAGTTCTTTATACAGGTCTATATTCTAGATGCCTTAAAAATCTTCAAAGATTCTTGGAATGAAAGTGACCCCAAACGCTCGAATGGTGTCTAGAAAACAATTCTCCATTCGCTTTCAAAAGTGAGATGAAAACAATTCCAGAAACCCATTAAGTCACTCAATAACAGTAGGTTGTCAATATTGCCAGTTAATAAGAGCTGGAAGTTGATATGATGACGTCAGATAGCTGTTGGATTCGCATAGCAAAGAGTTAACAATCAATGAGCTTATAGAGACGCGTGAGCAAAATGTTGCTGAAGAAGCCAATACCTCAAACCGAGATTCACCAGTGAAGCTAGGACAATTGCAAGCTTGACAGAATGTTTCGGGTCAACTGGAAAGGAGTTTATAAATTTTGGAGAATATAGACTCTAATGAGAAAAGATTTCTAGCTATGAAGAAAAGAATAAAAGAATTATCAACTTGGTACGAAGAAATTTTACCTAATGTTAAAAAAAAAAAAAAAAAAAAAAAAAAAAAAAAGTCATTAAGTCGTTAGACAAGTTAGCTAACTACTATATGAAGTCATCGTCGTCGAAATAGCTTCGTTTTATGGAGTACATTTATTTTAATATTATTTTGATTGATATAAACGAAAACTACATTTTTGCTCATACACTTTTTTAATCAAGCCTCTTTAGCCCTTGAGCTCATTTAACTCATTTTCCGGCATTTTTTCTTTTTCTGATAAATGTTCATAATAGTGTGAAAATGATGTTGCCATTATTTTATATTCAATCGATTTAATTACAATCGTCACTAGTCATTCGTTTCTATCATACATTATTTTAGAATTATTTTATTTTATTAGTCCAAAGGGATTTGAATCCCGAAGGACTATTAGTTTCGTTTTGGCATTTTGCGTCGGACTCATAAATGTCGGTTCACTTTTCAAACTGTTGCCACAAAAATGTTAGAGTCCTGCATTATATTTGAAGAAATAAAAATAATGAAAAAATGCATGCATAAATGTTGCATATATTTCTCGTATTGTGATAAAACAACGGTACATAGAGTCATCGAATTTTGAATAACGTAATCCTCCAACGAATATGAGCATGTGGAAGACCAAATTTGAAATTTGAAATTTGTTTTATGATCGATTTCCTATTTTTTAAAACTTTGACGAATTTTTGATTAACAAACTCAAGGATTTCAAAGCGAGCAATGGCAACGTTGTGCAGAAAAAACATTTTTATCTCCAGCGCGTGAGTCTCTGTATCGGAAATTCTAAAGATATGCTCGTTTTAAAACTATTTTGCGATATTGCTGTTGCACTGGATCTTATGGTTTAAGTGCGAGGAACATGATATTTAATAAAGAAAGGTAACACACAAAATGTTAAAAAACGCCCCTTTGGACGTAATTTAAAATCTGAAACATTTCATATTTTTTTTTAATTTTATTTTCAATATGGGTAATTAACATCGTTTGCCCTACATTACACTTTTTGAGAATAAGCTGACTATTTTGATTTTAACAAAGGGGGCTTTTATTTTTCATGAAGTGCATAAAGCTTCTGTTGTTAAACTGAAATTATTTTCAAAAGTAAGTTGTATTATGATAGCGAAACATAATTTTTTTCTCTTGTAATTAGAAAAGATCTGAAAATTTTAATAGCAAAGGATGAAGCTTTAAAATCCTAAAAAAATAAGTTGAAAAATTAACGTTATATCAGTCTGTTACATAAAGCAGTACTTGAAGCGGTTCAATACTTGTGTTCTCTCAGTTCTTGTTATCCTCATTGGTTTTAACAATATAAACCTTTGATTTGGTTTTAGTTACATACTTCAATTTAGGCTAAATACCTTTGGGCTTTTAACTTAATGCTACATTTTAGATGAATTTTTTATGCCATTTTTGCTACTACATGTGTGTAACCATCATATTACAAAGCATAAAATATTTCTCTCCGAAAATCCTCTTTCGAAACTTCTTTTTTTCACGACGTATAACTATGCATTCTAAATGAAAGATGAAGGGAAAGGATAAAAAATAATTCCATGGACGTCATGCATTTTCTTCATAGTCTATAATCTTTCCCCTTGTTCATTTCGTGACAAGTTTATCGATTACATCCACTATTTTCATCTTTATCGAAGGGCGCGTTTCCCGCTATCTTCCGTTTCTGCGCCATTTTTCTTCTTTCATTTCACAATCGAAGGGGGATCACGCAAACGTCAAAGCATTTATAACTCCTCGGTCGATCAGACCTTAAATCTCATAGCGCCAAACTGCGTATATGAGAAAAGAACAAAATCCATCATGGAAATTCCTTTGCTTACCTTTTGCAAATTTGAGATTAGAGTACATAGCAGATTGGTAACGTTCACATATTCGATGTTCAATATATAAATAGATTCGAGTTAAGAAAATTAGTATTTTAAAGCAAACAGAAATTAGAGAAGTTTTAATGCTTATGTAAGTTCTTATATATTGCATAAACTGCTATAAGATGTTACCATTTACATTTTCAGAGGAAATATTTGTATTTGGAAGGGTAAAGTTTATTTCATGGATTTAGCAAAACAGTTACTGCATTATGATGCAAACTCGTCACTCGGATAGCGTCACTAAACGTCTCAAATCATGCTTTCAGGGTCCTAAAGTATATCACTTACTGTGTTGTAGGGTTTCCCTTAATTCAATTAATCAATTATTCAAAATTTTGTTATCTTTCCTGAACTACTCAATTTTCCCTCGCATTTCCTCGCCAGGATTCAAATTTAAAGTTAAGCGAAGTGAGGATTTAAACGGGTGAATTTTGGAGTTTATTTAGAGCGTGTTTTCCCTAGCCAGCGCACATTACGAGTCTTTCCTTGCTGTTACGCGGATTTGCTGATACACCTCTTTGGCTATATAAACTGGTGGGTTGTTGTGTCAACCTAGTATACTTTAAAATAAAGTCTTAGAACAGTACTACTCTTTAGCTTTTAATTTATTGTGTTAACGATTCTTAAGTTTCACCGCAATTAGCCGGTGTTATTGTAAGCACAAAGTACGTGCCTTTTCTGTTCATAGTTTGAATAATAATAAGAGGTTATTTTTACCTTTCTTCTGTTCTGGTTTCCTTTACACTTGTGCGAGAAGTCGCCAGGTTCCTTAGTAGCATCTAGTAGAGTTTATGTTAGCAAAGAGAACACGATCCTACAATGCATGCAACTGAACTACAGCTTTCCTTTACTTATCAAAGTGGGGGGATTAAGAAATTTCATTTACTACACAGTTTTCAGCTTTTCCCTTAGTTTTGCTTTTACCTTCTTTACAGAAGAATACTTTTTTGTACCTATTTATCTGACAAGTTTTAATACAGAACAATCTTAACTAGAACATAAATGTACCTTTGAATTGTAAAATTAAAATAACTTTTGCAGACATAAAGGAAAGGAAAGATCTTTACTCACTGTATACAGAACTAAAAACAAACTTATGATAAATATATCAGAAGCTCTATTATTTATACAATAACGATAATTAACAGTCAATATTAAATGCATATTTTTAAATTTTCACAGTAATAATTTCGATGTGGTTCAATAAAACCATCGAAACTAGTACTGTGAAAATTTGGAAATATAACGCTGATTTTTGTTGTTTGACTTCTGAATTAAATTTGAAAAGTTTTTTTTTAAATATACTTCATATAGATTTCTGTTTCAACATAAGCTGAGCAAATATCAGCTTCTTTTTATTATTACATTAGTTAAGATAAAAGAACAAATATTAGTTTTATATTTGAAAATAGTTCAGCTCATGGTAATTTTTGCAATTTAATTAAAAAATTGAGTTGCATTAAACTATCTTTTATCCGAAATTAGTGATGCCTTTAGATCAAGGAGCTATCGGTTCTTCAGAGAATTAATCTGTCTCGCATATTAATTCTCCGCTATCAAACGTTCGAATATGGTAATGCAAAAGGGCTATCGTCTAGGAGCTCAAGTATTATAATATTTTACCTCTCGATAATACAAGTACGTGAAAAAGTTGATTAATTACCACGTTATTCAATTTTTATTTTTAATAAACTGCGAACATTAGCTTCCACAGAATGGCAGCATGACGGTTCCTTTTCACTTTTCCCAAGAGAGCCATTGCTTTAAATTACTCATTAAAATTCATTGTTTGATACAGGATAAAATGAGCTGAAATTTGGAAAATCGAAATGTTTATGAATTATTAATTCATTAATTTGTTAATTTTTGCTTTTTTTAAACTTAAAAAAATTGCACTGTTTTAAGTTTGCCATTGGGAAATAATCTTCGCTTTGATGTTGAAGGAGAGATATATGATAGATAAATGATAGATAAATAAATTTTAATGATAGATAATAAGCATGAAAGCAGTAATCCCTGCTGATTTTAATTGTATAATTGTGCATATTTTGCCTTTTAAACTAGAATTTATGTTTCATGTCCCATTTTGTGTTCTTTTATATTAATTGTTTATGACCTAAAACTTATATTATCATCTTTTGGCAACTTGTCATGAAATGTTTGCATAAACTGAATAAACGGAATTGTGAACTGTATTCCTGATACAGTTTGAAGCAAATAAAAACACAGACAAATATTGTTTGGAGTTAATCGAATTCAACAGCGAAATATTAAGCTTTCTACGTAGATTTGCTTTCGGAATTACATCTGGATTGCTTCAGACAGGTACAATAAGTCTACAAGAATTCATAATTTACGGATTATTATTGCTCAGAACTATTGATATTAAAACCTTTTGGAAATTTTTGCCCAGAACTATTGTTGATCTGGTTTTTAAGATTTAAATATTTCATATTAATCTAATGTTTTAATTTTCCGCATGAGGTAGCTTATAAATGATATTAAAAAATCTTAAAAAGTAAATTCGATTTCAAAGTCTGAGAAGAAATATTTGTTAATGTTTAGGGCTAAAGTGCAGAATCGCCCACTTACTTGTTTGGCGTTTGTTTGGCGCTATCTACAAGAGTAAGAAGAATTGTATTTTTGTCAATTTTCTTTGACTTTTTAAGTGAAAATAGGTCGTTGTGTACATGGGTAAAGTCAAGGGAGTGCACAATGCTATTTTTGTGCAATTCTGGGATTTTTTTAAATGAAAATAGGTCGATGTGTACATGGATACCGAGTATACGCAATTCTTAAAAACGCGCCAAGCAGTGGGCGATTCTGCACTTGCCCCATTTTCAGTTAAATATGTATAATTTGCGACTTTTGCTAAAATCCAAGGGGTCGTTAATTAAGGGTAATAAATATACTACAGTAGTTTTTTCTGTAAAGCAATTGCAGATAGAATATGTCGGATATTTCCATTTGTTCTGCATTTTATGTTTGATTATGAATCTGTTTTTGGTAAACGTTTACTATTGGGTGCCCCTTGTTTTTTGCTTGGCGATTCTTTTTTAACGCCAAGATCGGCGTCAGGAAGGCACAATTTCAAGATGGCCGCTACACAAAACCAAAATAAGAAGTCAAAGAAAATTCTGTGTTCATGTACGCATCGATCTGTTTTCACTTAAAAAAATATCCTAGAATTGCACAAACTAGGCATTGCCCACTGCCTTAAATTTGTCCATGTACACATCAGTCTATTCTCATTTGAACAAAATCAAGAAGCTAAAACAAAGTTAAAACAATCATGGTAACCAAAAGTGAGGTTTCATCGCCAAAATTAAAAAAAAAAAAAAAAAAAAAAAAAAAAAAAATGTTGCTAATCGAAGGGGCACCCAATTCTACACTAGAGCCCTGTTTTTATAAGATGAATGATATCAGAAGATCCAAGGATTCTCGAGAACTGTAGAAATTTACTGAAGTGTGGCATGTTCATAATTGGAGCAATCGCACTAAATTGACAATCTGTCAAAATACATCAAAACATTATTAAGTGACTGAATATGTTATTAAAACCCCATGACTATCCGTAGATTATTAGAATATAGAATGCCTGGTAGAAATCTTTATTTTGGTAATTGAAATTTAGTCATTCTACGTCGGTTTTACTAATTATTATATTGGATCTGATTTAAATATGGGGAACGCAGTTAAATTGCAGACAGTTTTTGAGAACCAAGAAAAGATCTTTCAAAAGATAAAAATTTGCAGTTTATTTGATTAGAGATATTGCAGTAAGCACTTTATTACTCTCACTAAGTGAGAAGTAAATAATAATTCTTTCTATGGATTACAATGCACTACTCAATGCAGGACATGGCGCGTTAACACGACTTTAATCACCGTCATTATGTCAACTGATTGGCTGGTAATATGTTTATCAGTAATTCAAAATATTTCTAAACTAATAAGACTGATCTAACAGCCTGGAAAAAATTTTCCAGCCTTATATGCTTCACATAAAAAAATCTTGAATTATTAAAATATGCTATATATATTATTTATTTTAACAGTAATCAAAATTTTTTCTGTGTGTATTTTTTCCATTTTTTAATAAGCTATCTGAAATGAACCTGTGCAAAAATGCATAAGGCACATTTGGCGTTATTACCGCTTAAAAAAATAAATAAATCAAAAAATATCTGAAAAATTTCAGCATTTTGTTATATTTCTTTTGATAAGAATAAATTTTATTCACCTTGTATCGGATTTGTGCATTCAATCTATTACGAACCCGTACGCACGCAGCACTTTTTGGCGTCAGAAGTGGGATTGAATGGCATTAACAAAAGCGATAGAGTTAAGAAGTTAAGAAGAAACATGTTAAGAAGTTTGTGGCAGCTTTTGCTGCATTTAAACAAAAGATGAAAGATTCCGTTAAAGGAGCGATGAAAGCTGTTAAAGGAAAAAAGGCTGGTCAAGAAACCGTTAAAGAGGAGATGAAACCATTCAAGAAGGATGGACGCTGGTCAGGAAAGATGGAAAGTGGTCAAGAATCGTTAAAGGTAGTGATGGAAGCTGTTCAAGAAAAGATCGAAGCAGGTCAAGAGAAAATGAAAAGAGAAATTACTTTCATAATAGAAAACATATTGGAAGCTAAGGAAGGCAGAATAGACGCTGTCGAAAATAAATTTGAACACATGGAACAGAGAGTTTCTTCTGTCAAGGAACAAATAGAAGGGAGAGTTACTGCTGTGGAGCAACGAATAGAAGGAAGAGATTTTGCCGTTAAACAATAAATCGAACAACAAATTGATGACAGGGTTTCTGCGGTCTCCAAACAAGTTGATACCTTGAAGAAATTCGTAGCGACGGCAAAGAGTAACTCTGTTGGTTTTAAAATTTTACCCATGTCTGCCCGTACCTCTCTGAAGCTATCCACATGTGATGGGAAGACCTCGCAAGTGTAAAAGACACAATTTTCTATAGTGGCGGATGCTAATGGATGGGATTCCCAAGCTAAGGCTTGTGATCTTGACGCTTCTCTGAGAGCAGACGCTGCGGATTTTCTTAAACTCTTCCAGAAAACCAGAGACTAGACCTCGAAGCTCCATCCGGCGCATCGGGGCTGCGCTTTGGCAAGAAATGTTTAAAAGATTACAGCAGGTTTCAATTAAAATCTCGCCAACAGAAGACCACGGAAACACTCCAGGAACTTGCCACAGATGTTGAAAGGCTGTCTCACCTCGCCTTTTCGGAATGCTCGTCAGAAACAAGAGAAATCCTGTCACTACAGTACTTCATCGACGGCATCCGAGATCCTGAAATACAGAAAGCTCTACAAATGGCGGATGTCAAGACTTAAAAAGCGCTCTAGTGTACGCCATGAATTTCGAGGCAGAATGAAACTCGTGGAAATGTAATGGCTGGTTTAGCTGATTTATCCAGAGACTGCAATATTTTGATACAGAGTAGGAGGGAAAACAAACTAGCTCTAAAATGTTGGAAATGTGGTACTGAAGGCCACATACGATAGAATTGTAGAACATCCCAGAGCACGGAAAATGAAATAGGGGATCTGACCAGACAAGTCAGTGCCTTAAAACGGAATAGGAGTGAAAAGAAACCAACCCTATAGTGCTGGAACTGAGGTGCTGAAGGTCACGTACGGGGAAATTTCAGAACACTCCAGGGCACAGAAAATAAGATCATTCCCCATCAAAGACGCAGAAAGCAAATTAATGGCCATATCGCAGAAAGGAATTTGAAATATAATGAGAAGCTCAATTTTAAAGCACTTCAGATTTCTGCAGTGAGTGTCGGAAATAATGGACTCTTTATTATGGAACACATCAATGGATTTTTTTGCAATATCGATACAGGAGCGAATGTTACCATCATTCGGGAAGATTTAGCTTAACAGTTTAAAGATGAACTCATTTGGACGCCATCCTGTGTTACCCTCCAGACTGCGTCTGGTGATAAAATTGACATACATGGGAAGTTAAACTTCAACATCATGTTTGGAAGTGCCGCGTAGACACGGCATATATGACAGATATTAGGGATTCTTTTATATTCGGATTGGACTTTCTAAGGAAATACAATTTTTCTTTGGACTTTAAAAGTACGAACTGCATTCAGCCTCTGACGACATAACTATCCATTATCGGAAGGGATCAACACACGGAAACGCCGATGCCCTATCTAGACGACCCTTGCCCAGAAAGCTGCCGATATTGTTCCAAGGTCGAAGCGAAATAGGAGCAGCTTAATCCGGTCGCACGACAAATTATAACATCAATATCGGCTGATGGAGACCCACGAATTGAGAAAGAAGTCAGGAAAGAGCAGCTGGAAGACTGCGACATTAAAATCATAATTAACTTAATAGAGTCTTCAAACAGGAAAACCTACCTGGGAGGACATTTCGATCTATAGTCCTACGACAAAACAATATTGGGGACTCACTCCATATCCGAAACGGTGTCTTGTACCGGATATTCGAATCCGATGGCAGCTGATACTCCCAAGATCTCGGATTCTGGACGTCCTTAAAAACTACATAGCAGTCCTCCAGGAGGCCACTTCGGAATAATGAAGACCTTGGAGAGAATTCGTGAACGCTTCTACTGGAGTAATGCAAAATGTGACGTGCCAAAGTGATGCCGATCTCGCGATGCCTGTGCGAGTCGAAAAGGACCGAAGAAATGCAGCTGAGGCAAGCTGCAACGTTACAACATAAGAGCACCTTTTGAACGTATCGCCTTTGAAATCTTGGGACCTCTGCCACGAATTGCTGATTGCAAACAAATACAGTACTCCAATTATCCGAGATCCGACTATCCGAATTGCTGATTATCCGCACCGTTTTCAGAATTTAAGAGAAAAATTAAGATGGAAATGTTGTATTGGACAATCAAAGATTTCAGATATTAAAAATATTTTTAAACATAGTGTCACTGCTTGAAAACGGAGATGGAAGTTCTTCGGGAAAATCAATGCAGCACCAAACAAAAATTTAGAAGATGTCGTTTTCAAGTGGTTTTTAAAGCAGCGTTCTGCGGGAAACCCAATTTCGGGTCCGATTCTTTGTGAGAAAGCTAAGATCTTAGATTTGAAGCTTGGGTGTTCATCCCAAAGCAAGTAACGGCTGGCTAAGAAAGTTAAGTGCAGGTACCGTGTCCGTCAAACGACTTACTTTAACAGAGATGTTCAGTAAGTAATGACTTTCAGCATTTGTAAGTACTCTGTAGTACGCTATATAATATGTACACAAAAATTTTACCTTTTCGTTTTAATTAATTAAAATTCTTTAAAAATAGATTTTTCCTCCCATTTTCAACATACAGTAATTAATTAAAGTGCACATAGACCCTTTCATAGGAAAAAATCCAATTACCTGAATTTTTGATTATCCGAACAGGACCCGGTCCCAATTCATTCGGATAATTGGAGTTTTACTGTACAGCCTAGTCGTCATTGATTACTTCACCAAGTGGCCTGAAGCGCATCCTATCTCTGATCAGGAGGCTGTCACAGTAGCAGAGGTAATGATATGCCACTGGATTTCCAGGTTCCAATGCCTTTCAGTTACATTCGGATCAAGAAAGGAATTTTACCTCTGTAAATAAAGAACTCCGCTATCTACTCGGCATTGACAAAAACCGAACAACAACTTTATATCCGCAGTCAGACTGCATGCTAGAGACGTTTAATAGAACCATCCTTAATAACCTCTCATTGGCGGTTTCCAGAAACCAGAAGGACTGGGACAAGAAGTTACTTGTTTTTACTGTCTTATCGCAGTGCTGTCTACAAGACTGCCGGCTATTCCCCATCCCAGATGCTCTTCTGTCATGACCTTCGTCTACCTTGAGATCTCTTGTTTGGTCGTCCACCGGATGCACCTTCATCACCTGAGGAGTACGTCCGAGATCTACAGGCACGGTTTGAAGTGCTGCACAAGTTTGATCGAGAACGAGACAACTTGGCGACGGAAAAGACGAAGACACGATACGATACGAGAGTTCGTATCGTGTCTTCGTCGGTTCAACGGCAGAGACATCGGTTCAACGACAGAGACCAAGGTGTGGTTGTGGAATCCGATTCAACGGAAAAAACAGTCACTTTGGGATGGTCCTTACATAGTCCTAAACAGGCTGAACAACGTTGTAGTTCGGATCCGTAAGTCATCGAATTCTAAGTCGAAAGTCGTTTATTACGACAGGCTACCTCCTTACTATGGCCATAGTAGGCAGTGTATATAATGTAAACAGTATAAGACCGTGGTCCTTTTTTGTTTCTAAATTTGGGTACTCATTTATTGATTTGTATATGATTTATTTTAAGTTACTTATTGCAATTATTATATATGTTGTTTGTTATTGTATTGTAATGTTTATTATTGTATTGATGCTTTAGCTGTAAGTGTGGCTTCCTATTTAGGGATTGTACTGCCCGGGACGTGCAGTCTTTGGAAAGGGAGCAGTGTTACGAATTTTGTATATAGTTAGATATTTTTAGTAGAATTATAATTAAATTTGTTGTATTTCCCCTTGCAAAGCAGTTTGAGAAAAATTTTGAGAGAAAGTCATGTCAGAAAACTAAAAGTACAGGAGCATGTGCATTTAACATTTAGTAAATATGTATATTTTTAATTTGTATTAAAACTGAAGTTGTGAAATTATGGGGTGAAATTATGTAAACCGCAGTGCTTTATTTCGCTAGTGCATTGTCATTGGAATTGATGAATTTAATCCTTGACCTTGCCTTTTCTGTATTTTCGCCTTCGGGTGAGCCGTATGATTGCATCCTAATTGACTTAATTACCGCGAATGGTCTTAGGGCATAAAATTTAATTATCTTTGTAAATATTCTATGTAATTGTATGCCAGTATTGAAAGAAACAATCAATCTGGTAAGAAATGGCTGCGACTTGTTTTGAGAATGAGGTGTAAAAGGTTATCAGCGAAGATATTCCGCTTGGCATTAATTGTATCATTATTGGCAACTTTATCGTTTGCGCCGGCAAAACGGAAAAGTACCAAAATTTTTTGTCAGTATTTTAATTAGTATTTTAAATTAGTATTTTCTAGACCTCTCCATAAAAATATGTAAAGAAAAATCCTAAATTGCAAAAACCAAAATCAAAAGTATTGAAAAAGTAGTTATTCTCATTGCCAGGCGGCATGAAAACATTTTGGAAGGGGACAAATCTATACAGCGTTCTCGCTTCAAAGGACAAGACGCAAGTCTGTCTTGAATGTCTTCTATTGAATAACAGGAGGTAAACTCAAGATAGTTTTATATTTTCTCATTCAAAACAAAAAAGTGTAAACTTTAAAGTTTCTTTGCTACGATTCACTCGAAACAAACCATAATGCGATTAGTTGATTTAACAGAATATCTTATTCATAACATGTGTTCATGCCTGTCTTTGTCAAAGAAGTTGCAGATCACTGATTTTTAAGCAAAACTGTGTCAGCGAAAGCAGTCATTCGTTTCCCATGAACAATGAAGTAGCTTGATAATAAAAGAATAAATAACTATTTTACTTCCAGATAAGCTTATGGATGTAGAGATCGAAATTGGAGGCATTCCATACGGAATATGGTGGATTCGGAAAATTTTGCCCAAAGATAAGAAAAGACGATTGCTTTTGTTACGTGTCTTCACCCTTTTTCTCACATACGTGGTTTACGTTTCTTTCCATGTGGCTAGGAGACCCATTACAGTTGTCCAGTTAAAGATAACTCACAGCTGTAATCTAACAGCCTATTCTGAAGCTTGGATCAAGCATTTTCCCGAAAATAAAGCATCTGACTGGTGTCAAGGAACTCTTTTCGAAACGTCTGGAAAAGTAATTATGGGTTTGATAGATGTGACCTTCTACGGAACATATGCGGTAAGTGAGTCTGTTAGACTAAACGCTTTTATTTTAAAAATAACATGTATCAAAAATTAAACCAAAATAAATTTATAAACATACATTTCTCTTTCTCATGAAAACTCGAGCAAAACTATTTCCCTAAATATAAATAAATAAATGAGTGTATTTCAATAAAATTTTCTTGCATCATAAGTGCAGTAAATACTACATCAAAAGTTAAAGACGAGCATCGCGTTGAACTGTAAAGAATGTTAGACTACAGAGGCATAAAATTTTGGAAACATTTACTACCATTCAGGAGGCCAAAAGTGCCGAATAAATTAATGAATCATGCAATACAGAGAATTTTCGCATCAATAATAATCAATTAAGAATAGCGTATCAAAACCGCTATACAATGCTAAACCTCAAGAAGAGGAAAAGATGCTGTCAAACTACAAAATTTCTTTTTAGGTGAGGGGTTTAATCTGGAATTTCTGAATTTTCTAGCCACAAATTTTCTATCATATAGGCTACCGAAAACTAGAGTTCCTAATTTACGAATCAGTTAACCTTATAAAATTAATCAAGAAAAATGAGCTCATCCATAAATTGCTGGATTTTCACTAAAACGAATGAATACTCCATCTTACCGCCATGTAGGAAGCGTGTATCAAAGACAAGGATTAGAATCAGGCTCATTAAGCAATATCACAGAAATAAGCTTTATAACACTTTGCTACCTTTTGTATCTACTAAGTTCCTCTCTTTACCTAAGTGTCTGTGCAATCACTTGCAGATTAAACTAACCGTAGAAGCACAGATACGCAAGCAAGTAAGTATTTTACTTTACTCTACCTCACAACTTGTGTGAGATAAATTAAAATATTATATGAACAAATATAAGTCACCTTCACTGTGCAGCAATTAACTGGGCATTCAATTGGTCACTGCACAAGTACATGCACTCAAGAATACAGCACCTTTAAGTAGAACAACCCAATCTAAATTAAGACGAATGTAGCACTTGTCCAGAAAACTATTTCAATCAAGCTACGATTTTCTGTATGCAAAGTAAGCACGACAGCAAACGTGTATGTCCTAAAAATTATCCGTTTACGAATCTTTCTCTCAACTTATGGTATACTATCTGGCAAACAAATTTGCATAAATCGCTGGACTGGGCGAATTCTTGATGAAACGAGACATAAACGAAAGATGAAATTAAATGTCTAACTGTTAGTTTAACTTAAATGAAATGATACAGTCGTATAACGGTCATTTGCGCATTATTATCCAAACAAGATGAGAAAGAATAGAGCACAGCGATTACAGAAACTAATGTGGACAGTATGGGAAACATATCAAAATTATATAAATTATTCTGACCTAACTTCGAGGGTTATGTGGTGGAAGAACATTTTTGTAATGGACAAGAAGAGTAAATTGTTTTTGTGGAGAACTGAAGAGTATTTCAATTATTTGAAAGTGCAGTACAATAATACTAAGAGAAGTCGATAATACAGTTATATTCTATGCTTTCCTAATACTTGGGAATAAAAAAGATTTATAATGAAAACTTACCTTTTAAAATACTGTTACGGAAAGTCCAACTGTGACGAGATAGCTTCCCCGCAAAGCGCTGTTACGGTTGCCAGAAAGTGGCAGGGTTTCCAGATTTGGCGAGAAATAGGCGATTTGGAGAAAAAATTGGCACTATGCCATAGACGGAGCGAGAGCATTCTATAACGCATTCTTAGCGGTTTTGTTGAGAATATTCTCGAAGGTAATCTAAAGCTATATATACCCACCTGTCCTTGGAGTAGCATTGTCTTGAGTTCAGAAATTAACTTGAGAGCGATCGACCGACTCGGGAGCTGTACTTTAGTGCTTTGCCGTGAAGCTGTCTTCATCGTTATAACCTGAAGGCAGTTTTGCTTATTGTTTCAGCATGTTTGTCGTAGTTTTTCGATGACTGTAAAGGTGTCTTTGGAACTGTCCTGTGTAATAATAGCGAATAAATTCTGTTTTGATTCTTTATCAAGTTTTGTCATCAATTACTCCAAATCCACGAACCCTTAGAACGCAAAATTACTATATTTCTCATGTTGCTTTAATTTATATCAACAAATGATAACTAGAAAAGCAAAGTTTTTAACTGTTAAAGTAATAAATACGGATAATATAGGGTATTGAAATTAGTGTACACTGTGTATATATAAACCATATTCTATATCGTTTCATTATAATTTACTATTCAGTTTCCCAACTTGACTTTCCCTATATTATGTTTTCGTTTCAGTTTTCAATGTATTTCAGTGGTATCATAGCAGACTGCTATAATCCCCGGTACTTCCTGACTACTGGATGCATTTTGACTGGCTTCTTTTCCATGATCCTGGGGCTAGCTGATATGTGGAAAATTGTCAGTTACTATTTTCTTATTATGTCTCTGATATTGATGGGGGCTTCTCAGTCAACAGGATGGCCTGTTGTTCTCTCTTGTGCAAGTTTTTGGTACTCCGGGAAAAAAAGGGGTCTATTTTTTGGTATTTGGAACACTCATAATTATTTAGGTTAGTATATATATATATTAATAAACTGTAACTATACCAAAACACATAAAGATCATTAATGTGTTTTAATCATTAATGAAATAAAGGTGAAAAGTAGTGATTTGTAAGGGAATTTAAATTTCTGTTTTTCAGTACAGGTGAATAAAATATTGAAACTCAAAGTACTGATAAATATTGTTTAACTCATTACAGATAATTAAGTCCATAATGTCGATATGTCTTTAAGGGCGGAAGTTACTTTTAAATATTTTATACTGAAGGGCATCAGAACTTTGAGTCTGTTGTCCTTCTGTCTGTCTGTTGTTTTTGGTCTGTGTGAATTTAAGAATAAATTTGACTGTGTAGTAGAGAGCTATGTATTATATGCATTTATTTAATTTTTTATAATTTATGCATTACCATGAGCGCATGTAATCTATTAAGACTGAATTCCCATGAAATTTGTGGCAATTAGAAGTTAATAGGGAACTTTGAAAGCCCTAAATTAACTCATTCTTTGAAAATCAGTTTTTCTGATAAAGCTATTTTCATAGTTACCAGATTGTAATTGTTAGAAAAGCGCCAATAAGTAGATATTAAAATGTTGAACAATACTATTTTGCCTAAAACTGTGTAACAACAACATATATTTATATCTGTTTTATTAAAGCAAGTATATTTTACCTTAATTCTATTGCTAAATCTTAAATATTGAAAGTTCAATACTTTTTACTCAACACTTGATAAATTTAATAACTTATTTTATTATATACGTTGATTCTCAATTATAAATGAAATACTTGATTATTCAAAATTTTAAATTTTGAGCAATTAATCACGTACTTTAAATCTTTTGAGCATGACGCAGTTTATAGGAGGTATCAGTACAAATACCCATCATGCACTTTATATTCATATATAACAGCTGTTTTTGAATTTTCCATTACCCCACTTTCCCAGCAATCTAAGAACGTGAAACATGTCGACCTTCAAGGCATTTATTTAACTTGCACCACTATTTACATTTAACTTACATCACTATTTGTCTGCTGCAATGGAAATTAAAGTTCTTATCTGCTATATCTTATTTTTATTTCTTTGGAAAATGTGGGGGTGTTATGTCCAGCTACGCTTTCATTTCTAACTTATTTAATTACAGAAAGAGAAGAATTTTTTCTACTTTTTAAATAGAAGCAAAGCTTATTAAACCGCTTGAGAGGGAAGCAAGCCCCGTTTATATTTTAACAATATAGTTACCCCTCATTTTAAAAAAATATTAGAAAAAGAAAAATTATCTTTTGAATTTAAATTTTTTAGTTTTAAAGTTTTTCAATACAAAATTTCCTCAAATGAGTTTTATTAACGGATTAAAAAAAGTCTGAATGTACGGAATCATTTGGAAGATAAGAAATTTTTTTTCTGTTTCTTTTTCAAAAAAACAAAAAAAAAAAAAAAAAAAAAAAAAAAAAAAAAAAAAAAAAAACAAAAAACAAAAAAAAAAAAAACAAAACACAAAAAAAAAAAAAAAAAAAAAAAAAAAAAAAACAAAAAAAAAACAAAAAAAAAAAAAAAAAAAAAAAAAAAAAAAAAAAAAAAAAAAAAAAAAAAAAAAAAAAAACAAAAAACAAAAAAAAAAAAAAAAAAAAAAAAAAAAAAATAAAAAAAAAAAAAAAAAAAAAAAAAAAAAAAAAAAAAAAAACAAAAAACAAAAAAAAAAAAAAAACAAAAAAAAAAAAAAAAAAAAAAAAAAAAAAGGCCGATTCTTTAATCTTTTTCTTTCCCGCATAAATTATACGCATTTTTTCTGATTCATTAAATTATGGAAATAAATTACTTCGCCGAACGCATAAAAACTAAAATGCATTTTAAATTCACTCTAGTATTTGTTTACCATAGCGACACTCTGGCGCTAGATTCACTTAACAGTATTATATTTCGTTCGCATTATAACTCATAATGTACAAAATTTATATCATTTAACGAATAGAATTATCTAATCGTTCACACATGTTCTATTCAAATACTACAATAAAGCTAGAATGATGTATAAAAGAAATTAAGTGAACAAAACAAAAAAGAAACAGTTTTTCACAGACGATTGAGTATTTCTCATTCAATTAATTCAGTTCTCACTTCGCGAGAAGGCAAAAATAAACAAAAACTCAAAATATCTATATTAAAAATTACGAAGTAAATCTTAAACACTTATTTCCTCGAAAAAATTCCAGAAAGGATTAAGCATGATTTAATTCGCAATAATAAATGAATGCGTTATGTTTGTTTTTGCGAAGCTAAGTTTCTCTAGATTGGCAACAAATCCACTAGTCTGCTGTTTCAAATGTAAACAATCAATGGCCGTCGTAAAGAAAAGGCTTAGCGGCACTTAAACGACTTTAAAATTGTTGATAGTTCTAAAAATATTGCATACAGATTTACTAAAGGCATAAAAACCTAAACCGAAAGATAAAAACAACATAATTCAATCATTTTTAAAGCAAAAGATGTACACTGCTCAAAAAAAAAAAAAAAAAAAAATGGGACAGTCCTATATCTCCTGATCTACTGGGCCGATTGACAAAATTCAAACTGCATTCTTCATGTCTCGAAAGCGCGACTTAGGATATATATTAGATTTATATATAGCACTTGTTCTAATATAGGTATTTTGACACAAAATCGAGACTTTTTCTGAAATAACATACCAATATTTTTTACTATATTTCGATTCTACGACTCAAGTTATGCCTAAATATTAAATTTTGTAAATTTTGGTGCTAAATTTACGGAGAGAAATTCAAAAATTTAACTTGGCAAATTTTTTGTTCAGTTTGCGCCAAGAATAGTTCACTTGGCGAACTTCTTAATACTCGTATATGGCAACCTAGTTTCCTTTCCCGTAAAAGGAAAAAAGTCACCATCGTTCCTTTTTTTCCAAATAATGTTCTTTATATTATATTTTTAATTATAACTTATTAAGTAATTTTTTCTTTTTCGAATTTCATTTTAATTGTTTAAGTTGCACTTTTTTTTTTTTTTCGAATAACTGTTTTAAAATTTCTATTACCTATTCGAACTGCGTAAATAAAGGTGCAATGTTTATTTTTTTTCAAATAGTTTTCTTTATATATTTTTTCGTCATAGTTATTATTTTAGGTAATTTTTAAATTTTTATACTTTTATTTTAATTGGTTGTGTTGCATTGTCTCTTCAGATAATTGTTTTAAAATTTCCTATTTATTCCTTCGAATTGAGCATTTTTAATATATTTATTATTATAAATTTTCCAGAATTTGATTTTATTTATTTGAATTGCGTTTCTTTCGGAGGAATACTTTGTAACCCGGACTACGATGCGTTTGAAAACTGCATATATTAAAAGAGAAAATACAGTAAAGCACAATTAACACGTATTTCAATGTTCCGTTCAGAAAAGATATATATATAAATAAGAGAGTTGTATAACCGACATTTTAACTTAGGATGAATTGCATACACTGCTTTAAACAGTTTTATCATTGTGCCCATTGCTTTATACAATTTTATCCTACATTTGGCTTCTTAAATATTATTCATATTTTAGTCAAATATTTTATTTTTGAAATCGTAAGAATCAAATATCATAAGATTAAAAAGTTTTAAATTAAAAAAAATACAAATACTAAATTTTACCCAAAAATTTATTTTTTCTTCTCTTTTTCTTCAGGCATTCTACTTTATTCTTGCTCTTTTTCTTTAGGCATTCCGCAACTATATTAAAAAGCATCCAAATTTTCGGAATATCTTGATATTTTTACAATCAATTTAAATAAAGTTATCGCCTTCCATTTCATAAAGGCCCACACACGGCCGAGCGGTAAAGTCGCTGAACACTGGTAGTTCACTCCGGGGTTCGAATCCCGGTAAACGGGCTGGTTGCATGGGCGTTTTCGTGTATTTTCTCATGTGTACCGTGTATGCCAGCTGGTTTCCCTTAGAAAGTTCTTCACAAAGGCATCCTTCCTTTTCCAAAGCCCTGCTTTGACGTAACTTAATAATCCAATTCAATCCATTTCATCAATATTTGGTCAGAGCCTTTATCAGTCTTTAGAGGCTAAACATTTTGAAGGTATGAGATGAAAGGAAAGACTGGTTTCCTAAAGAGGTTTTGGTTTATTTAATTATGACAAAGCACACTAGGGCTATCTGCCTAAGGGGAGGGAATGCCTTCGTGGAGACTTTCTAAAGGAAACTGGCTCGCATACACGTTACACATGGGGAAAAAACCACGAAAATGCCCCATGCAGCCAGCCCGTTCGCGCGATTCGGACCTCGCACTGAACTACCAGCGTTCAGCGACTTTACCGCTCGGCCGCTGTTTCATCAGGAGGGAAAAAAAAAAAAAAAAAAAAAAACGTCTTTAGGTGACATCCACATACATCACTGGATAAACTCCTGAATATTCAAATAATTCGAATGAGAAAATCATGGGACTCTCAATTTATGATACGATATGATGTTCTATAACGTAATTTAAATTTATACAACCATATAGTCTAAAACCAGTCGCTCTTCACTTTAATCTGCAATGATATCGTTTTTGTCTTTTCTGTTAACCACAAGCTCAATTGATGGTATTTGCTGGTGTACACGTTCAAGTGTTTTTTCTTTAAACACCTAAATTCTTTGAAATATCCTGAAAGTATATTCAAAAGCGTCCAACCTTTTGAAACATCTTGGTATGTCTGACAGCCAAATTTCCCTGCAAATTTTTGCTTACTTTACTCCCTAATTTTCTTCTTTCCTTCTACAGTTATTTTCAGTGCACACAAAAAAAATTAAGATTTTTCGATTGCTAGACTTCCATAAATTTGCATTCTTGTCAATTTTTAAAATATCAATTACATGAATTGCGTTTCAGCTGAAGACAGCTTTTCATTTTCTAGTCATTTTAACTATAATAAAGTTTAAAGCGAAGTCCAAAGGATAAATATTTTTAATTAAAAGATTTTTGCTAAATGACAAAGAAATAAAACAGTCCAGCA